TGACTTTCCAAGACGGACTCCCTTACCAAGACGGACTGCCCGAACTTCCTTACCAAGACGGACTGCCCGGACTGCCTTACCAAGACGGACTGCCTTACCAAGATGGACCGCCTCCAAGACGGTCTGCCTCCGAGAGGGACTGCTTTTCCAAGACGGACTGATTTTCCTAGACGGCCTGCTCTTCCCAGACGGACTGCCTTTCCAAGACGGACAGCCTTTCCAAGACGGACTGCCTTTCCAAGACAGACTGCCTTTCCAAGATGGACTGCCTTACCAAGACGGACTGCCTTACCAAGACGGACTGCCTTACCAAGATGGACTGCCTTACCAAGAGGGACTTCCTTACCAGGACGGACTGCCTTACCAAGACGGACTGCCTTACCAAGACGGACTTCCTTACCAAGACGGACTGCCTTACGAAGACGGACTGCCTTACCAAGTCGGAATGCATTACCAAGACGGACTGCCTTACCAAGAGGGACTGTCTTACCAAGACGGACTGCCTTACAAAGACGGACTGCCTTACCAAGACGGACTGCCTTACCAAGACGGACTGCCTTTCAAAGACGAACTGCCTTACCAAGACGTACTGCCTTACCAAGACAGACTGCCTTACGAAAACGGACTACCTTACGAAGACGGACCGCCTTACGAAGACAGACTGCCTTACCAAGAGGGACTGCCTTATCAAGACGGACTGCCTTACCAAGGCGGACTGCCTTACCAAGACGGACTGCCTTTCTAAGACGAACTGCTTTACCAAGACGGACTGCCTTTCCAAGACGAACTGCCTTACCAAGACGGACTGCCTTACCAAGACGGACTACCTTACCAAGACGGACTACCTTACCAAGACGGACTTCCTTACCAAGGCGGACTGCCTTACCAAGATGGACTGCCTTTCCAAGATGGACTGCCTTTCCAAGACGGACTGCCTTAGCATGACGGACTGCCTTTCCAAGACGGACTTCCTTACCAAGAGGGACTGCCTTACCAAGACGGATTGCCTTTCCAAGACGGACTGCCTCCAAGACGGACTGCCTTACAAAGATGGACTACCTTACCAAGACGGACTGCCTTACCAAGACGGACTTCCTTACCGAGACGAACCGCCTCCAAGACGGACTGCCTGACCAAGACGGACTTCCTTTCCAAGACGGACTGCCTTTCCCAGATGGACTGGCTTTCCAAGTAGGACTGCCTTACCAAAACGGACTGCCTCCAAGACGGACTGCCTTACCAAGACGGACTGCCTTACCAAGACGGACTGCCTTACCAAGACAGACTGCCTTACCAAGACGGACTGCCTTACCTAGACGGACTGCCTTTTCAAGAGGGACTGCCTTACCAAGAGGGACTGCCTTACCAAGACGGACTCCCTTACCAAGATGGACTGCCTTTCCAAGACGGACTGCCTTTCCAAGACGGACTGCCTGACCAAGACGGACTGCCTTACCAAGACGGACTGCCTTTCCAAGACGGACTGCCTTTCCAAGACGGACTGCCTTTCCAAGACTGACTGCCTTTCCAAGACGGACTGCCTTTCCAAGACGGACTGCCTTTCCAAGACGGACTGCCTTTCCAAGACGGACTGCCTTTCCAAGACGGACTGCCTTTCCAAGACGGACTGCCTTTCCAAGACGGACTGCCTTTCCAAGACGGACTGCCTTTCCAAGACGGACTGCCTTTCCAAGACGGACTGCCTTTCCAAGACGGACTGCCTTTCCAAGACGGACTGCCTTTCCAAGACGGACTGCCTTTCCAAGACGGACTGCCTTTCCAAGACGGACTGCCTTTCCAAGACGGACTGCCTTTCCAAGACGGACTGCCTTTCCAAGACGGACTGCCTTTCCAAGACGGACTGCCTTTCCAAGACGGACTGCCTTTCCAAGACGGACTGCCTTTCCAAGACGGACTGCCTTTCCAAGACGGACTGCCTTTCCAAGATGGACAAGACTGGGGCCTACCAGCCAAAAGGACTTATCACCTCGAAGGTCATCAAGGGACTGCTGTAACTACCTAGATGGTGACCTTCCGATATTGTACCGTGCTCTCACCAAGCGGTTCTATAACCAAGAGTATGACATCCAACACACTAGAATTTGAGTTAACTTCGAACTGGTCAGATCTGAATTGCCTGTGATAGTTCTCAAAATCGCCTCATGCAGCCTCACTTGACGCTCACCTGCTTGAACCCCATGCTCTCCTTCCCATCATGGCTCCACTCCATTCCCTCCTCTGATCACGCTTCTCAGGTCAGTCTCAGGTCAGTCTCAGGTCAGTCTCAGGTCAGTCTCAGGTCAGTCTCAGGTCAGTCTCAGGTCAGTCTCAGGTCAGTGTCGAGTCACTCTAATCTGGGGTCTCTTTTGACTTGAGCTGGTGTCATGCTCATGCCACTCTCGGTCTTGCACGCCTTGCGAATGCCTGCCCTGGTGTTATCCAATGTGGGAATGCGGGACTAACGATGATATACCTCATCGTTCCCTTCTTCCTCCCCCCTTCCCATCTCTCACCACTTCTCTCACTCCCATCTCACTCGCATTTCCCTCTGGCCCCCTCTGGGCTGTCGCACCTGCATCTCCGAAACACTCACTGCGCTAAAGACATAAAAAACGACTTTCACAACGACACATCCTTCCCCCCACCCCATCACTCACCTCACCAAACTCTCCTCCTGACCCCTCACGGCCTGTCCCACCGGCCTCTCTGTACCACTGCCCCTGCTTCTTCTCATCACCCTGCAGGAGTGCATTTCAGACGTCACTCCGCATCAGTGTCTCCCCCTCCTTCTCCCCATTTCCATCCCCAGTCCCCCACCCCACCCCGTCTTCTTCCCTTTCAACATCCCCATCCCCTTCTCCAACCCCAACCCCATCCCCAGGACCATCCTTTCCCCCGTCCCTGGGTGTGGATGATGCAGCCAGTGGCCTGCAGTACCTTGTCTCCTTGTGAGTTTTTTATCAAGCTTCTGAAAAACAATATCTCACACCCTGATGGGTTGCACAGCCTGCTGGGAGCGTGCATGGGAGAGGGATGGGGGGAGGGTGGGGGGCGTGTGATTGCACACTGGGGGGCCGAACACACACTGGTGGGATGCACAGCCTCCCGAGAAGCGTGCATGAGAGGGGGAGGGGTGCGGGGGAAGGTTTGTGATTGCAGGGGCAGAGCAGACACTGATAGGGCACACAGCCTCTTGAGGAGCGTTGTTGGCGGAGGCAAAGGGGGGCAGACTGCTGTAAGGAGGAGACAGCGCAGGAGGCAGTTGACACATGAGTGGTGGCACCGTCCTGCGCGATCTCAGAGAGCGCGGTCGTCCGTTAGTGCCGCACGTTCACACGCCGAGCCTCAGTTCCCTAAGGTGGGGTGCTTCACCCAGAGCACCCTCCATTTTGCAAAGACTCGCGTGCCTCACGTTTGCATAGTTTCTCGCTCTACCGCGCCGCCTACACAAGGAGAGGCGTCTTTACGGCCAGCTGCACAGCCGGGTATCCACACGAAGATCTGGGCCCGTCTACCCTTCACGTATCTGATCCTGACAGTTTGATGCCAGAGCTCCGAACGAAGGCGAAACAATTTTGGAAGGGCAAGTTCAGCTGGCTTGTCATATATGGCACGCCATGCATGAAGTTCAAAGTCTGCATGACTCACGGTCCTCCGCATTGGAAATACGGGAAGTTTGGCGACGGCGGGGCTGACATTCAGCGGCAGTCTATGCGGAAGCATAGCCTCAGCAAGAAGCATCAGGAGGCGGTCGACCACCAGCTACGCGTAGAAGGCGCTAAGCTCGCGCAACGAGGCATCGCGGATTTCGAGAAAGCGGACAAGGAGACGGCTCGGTTGAAGAAACTCATGCTCACGGTCCTGTTTATCTGCAAGTCAAAATTCCCCTATTTTCGGGTATGCTGTTCTTGTGCGCCTTTTGGCAGACATGGGGACGCATGACATACCTGATAAGGCGATAGGAACGTATTAATCTGAGTACATATTGTTGTAGTACTTACTGTGAAACATTATATATAGTATTGTTCTGTAGGCTATAGTGGGTTATCCTTTAAGGGGTATATCATTCTAGGGTTTGCTACTTGTATCACCAATGTTCATAGTTCCTTCACTTGTTGATTCTTACATGGTATTAAGAGCGTAGGTCCTAGCCCTAGGACCGCTTACCTAAGGGCCCATCATTCCGCTAGTCGCGCCCTCGTGCGCCTTCTCCTAATCGCGCCCTCGTGCGCCTCACGCCTAGTTTGCCCTCGAGCGCCCCGCTTTTTCGGCCGCGTCGCCCGCTAGTCGCTCGCGCGGCCCGTTTTTTGCCCGCGTAGCCCGCTAGCCGCCCGCGCGCGGCCCCCTTTCTGAGCGCGCGCCCACCCCTAGCCGCCCGTGCGACCGGCGCCGCCCACGAGCAGCCCCTAGCCGCCCGTCGACCGCCGCCTAGAGCGTCGCAGCCACGCCCGTAGACCGCCACGACGCCCTCTCTAGGCCGCCGCCCACGCACTAGTCAGGCTCAAGCGCAGCCACGGCCCGCCCGCTACAGCCGCCCACGCGCACGCCCCTAGTCGCGCACCGCCGCGTAGCCCAGCCCGAACCGAGCCGCACCGCCCGAACCGAGCCCCGCCAACCGAACCGAGCCGCGCCGCCCGAACCGAGCCGCGCCGCCCTACTGTGCCCCACCTAAAGCGACTCCTGTTCCTGTTCCTACTGTACTACTTCTTCAACTGCAGCTGATACTACTACTGCTACTACTGCTACTGTTCCTACTGCCACTATGGCCACTCCCTCTATTCTCACCTTAGACGCTGAGGGCCGCCCGATTAAGTTTGAGGTTTGGTTAGATGACCTCCACCTGTTCCTCCAAATCACTGCCAAGGACGATGTCTCCCTGTACGACCACACGTCAGGCGCTGCTCCCGCACCTCCCGCTACTGCTGACAGTACTGCTCGCTCCTAGTGGCAGACCCGTGATGCTCATGCTCGCCTAGCCGTTCGCAGCCACCTGCCGTTAGATGGGCGCGAGCACTTCGGCCAGCATAAGACCGAAGGAGCTGTACGACGCAGTAGTCGCATGCTACTCCTCCCCTACCACTGCTGCTATAGGCCGCCTCTCACTGCCCTACCTCTTCCCCGACCTGTCTGCCTTTGCCACTGTAGCTGACCTCATCACCCACCTCCGTACCAGTGACCTCCGCTACCGTGCCACACTCCCCCCCGATTTCCTCGCCAAGAACCCCCCCCCCCCCCCGATGTACCTCACACTGTACCACCTTGTCACCCGCCTCCCTGACTCCCTTCGCACTGTCAGGGACCAGTTTCTCGCCCTCTCCCCCACTGACCTCACTGTCGACCTCCTCGAGAAGGAACTCCTAGCAGCTGAGAAGAGCATTGTAGCTGTAGGTGCCTCTCGTGGTGACCCCCGCACCCCCTTCTTTGAGGGGTGCTCCCCATCCCCCCTCCTCCCCTCCATTGCATCTGCTGCTGCTGTCGACTACCTCGGAGCTGAGGGGGTCGGGGCTGCGTCTGCTCCTAGTGGGAGTCGCAAGGGCGGCAGGGGCTAGGGGGGCAAGGATGGTGGAGGTGGAGGTGGGGGCGGCGGCGGTGGAGGGGGTGGGGTGGGCAGGGGTGGTGGCGGAGGTGGGAGTGGCGCGGGTGGTGGGGGGGTCGGTGGCGGCACGGGGGGTGGTGGCGGCGGCGGTGGTGGAGGTGGTGAAGGTGGTGGTGGCAGTGGTGGCGGCGGTGGAGCGGGTGGCGCTCGCGGTGGAGCGGTACAGCGTGGGGGGTTCGGCAGTGGCCAGAGGCAGCAGCAGCAGCGTCCCGGTGAGACTCCCTCGCCCCAGCAGCTCCGTGAGTGGTACTCTCAGCGTGGGGGGTCTGGGGGTGGGGGCACCCGCCTGTACGTCATCCGCACAGGTGACCGCACTGGCCAGACCTGTGGGAGGTTTCGCACGGCACAGCGCTGTTTCTTTCGCCTCGACGACGCCTGGCGCGAGCAGTTTCCCGACGCCTCTGAGCTGCCCCGCGGGGCTGATCGGCTTAAGAAGGGAATTGATATCTTTGCTCTTGACTATGATGCTATCCTTGCTGCTATGTATGCATTGACTATTAGTGTTGAGGGTGATTGCTACCTGAGTGTACCGCCTGACCCGGGTATTGGGACCAGTGAGGCTACAACTCTAGGTGCTAGCGCGTCTGCTCCTCCAGATCCTGGTGAGGCTGCTGCCCTAGGTGCTACTGCGTCTACGTCTGCTGGTACCGCACCTACTAAGGCACTACACACCTTCACACTGGACTCAAGTGCTTCTCGCTGTTTCTTTCGCAACCGCACTGCCCTCGAGCAACTTCCTAGACCGGTTGCTGTCTCCCTAGCTGACCCCTCAAGGGGTCCGGTCCTTGTGACCTCCACCACTGCCCTCCCTTCTCCTGCTGTCGGGCCTCTACCTACCCCCGTTCTCAACGAACTTGGTGGCGGGGTCAGCGCTCCAGGACGCGGGTGTTCACCAGTTCACCCTGGCCTACGAGCGTGTCACGCACTGCACGTGTGCCCGGACGGGTCGTCACCTGGCTACCTTCACTCGGCAGCCGGGGTCGGACTTGTACACATTGACCACTGTGTCCCCTCAGGTAGCTGCGTCTGCGTCTGTGTCAGCTCAGCTGTCGGCCCCCTGCTCGTGTCGCTCCCTGTCGCACAGGACTGTCCTCTGGCACCACCACCTTGGTCACCCGTCAGTGCAGCGCCTTCGCAGCATGCACTCCAGGTACCTTGTCTCTGGTCTTCCCAGAGTTCTCCCTCCCCTGCCACCCTCGCCTGCTCCTCCCTGTCTTCCCTGTGTTGAGGGGCGGCAGCGCGCCGCTCCTCACTCCTCCTCGTTCCCACCCACAGAGGCTCCCCTGCAGACTCTCCACCTGGACGTGTGGGGCCCTGCCCGTGTCCAAGGACAGGGCCACAAGCGGTACTTTCTGCTGGTCGTCAACGACTATACGCGCTACACCATGGTCTTCCCCTTGCATACCAAGGGTGAGGTCCCTGATGTCTTGATCCCATGGATCCGCGCTGCTCGTCTCCAGCTCCGCAGGCGGTTCCAGTCAGACTTTCGTGTCCTACGTCTGCACTCCGACAGAGGTGGCGAGTTTTCCTCTGACCTCTTGGCAGCCTACTGTGCGGAGCATGGCATCCGCTAGACGTTCACTCTCCCGGCCTCTCCGCTGCAGAGTGCCGCATTGGTCTTCTCATGGAGGTCGCTCAAATGTGACTGCCCCCCATTTCCTGTGGCCATTTGCAGTGCAGTACGCTGCGCATCAGCTCAACCTCTGGCCCCGTATCTCCGTTCCGGACACCTCGCCCACCCTGAGTTGGACGGGGGAGGTTGGTGATGCGTCGGTATTCCGAGTCTAGGGATGTCGAGCTTTTGTCCGCGATACGTCCGCGGACAAGCTCTCCTCCCGTGCAGTTCCCTGTGTCTTCCTTGGCTTTGTCCCTGACGCGCCTTGCTGGCAGTTTTACCACCCCACCTCGCGTCGTGTCTTCGCCACTCAGGACGTCACCTTTGACGATTCGGTACCCTTTTACCGTCTCTTCCCGTACCGCACTGCCCCGCTCCCCCCCCCCCCCCCCCCCCCCCCCCCCCCCCCCCCCCGCCCACTAATCTTCCTCACCCCAGGTGTCCCGTCGGTAGACCCCCTCCTTCCACAGGGTGCTGCTCCCTCAAGTGTTTCCCAGGTAGACCCGGTCGAGCCTATCGAGGTAGCTGTTGACTCTGGTCCTGCGCGAGGTACTGAGCGTGCTGAGCCTGGTGGTGCTGGGTCTGGGGGCACTGAGCTTGGGGGTGCTGAGCCTGGGTGTGTGGAGACTAGGGGTGCTGAGCCTGGGGGTGCGGAGACTGTAAGTGCTGAGACTAGGGGTGCTGAGACTGGGGGTGTTGAGACTGGGGGTGCTGAGCCTGGTGGCACTCCCTCTTCGCAGCAACTGCGTGAGTGGTACTCCCAGCGCTACAGCCTCCGTCGTGGGGCTACTAGAGCTGGGGGGCCTGCTGGAGTCGGGGCTGGTGGCCCCGCAGGTGCAGTACCGCAGCCAGAGCCTTCCTCCCCTCAGCGGCTACGTGAGTGGTACGCTCGGCGCTGCAGCCTCACGAGTGGAGAACCTGGTGTTGAGGTATCGCCAGCTAGAGGCCCTGCTGCTGGAGGCACTGCTGGTACTGGTTGAGCTGGTGGTTCTGGTGCTACTGGAGGTGCTGCTGGTGCTCCTAGAGGTCCTGGAGCGGCTGGTGTCAAAAGTTAGAAGAAGAAAGAGGGTTGAACTAGCAGAAATGGGGACACAAATAGCAAACCCTAGAAGGGTTGTACTCGCTATAGAGCACCCCACTACAGGCTAGAACATAAGAATAACATTCTGACAGCTGGAGGTGCTGCTGGTGCTGCTGGCGGTTTTGGAGCTGCTGGAGGTCCTGCCGGTGCTGCTGGAGGCTCTAGAGCTGCTGGAGGTTCTGCTGGTGCTGATTCAGCTGGTGGTTATGGTGCTGTCTCTGCTGCTTCTAGGGGCACTTCGCGGCCGCGGCCGTACTTCGTTCCGCTCCTTCAGCAGGTTCTTGGTCAACCTCCTCCTCCTTATCCAGCTCCCTCCTTAGAGTGTCCTCAGCCTGTCCAGTCACAGTCCCAGCTCCCGCCTGCCTCGCCATTTCCTGGTCCTTCTCCCTACACTGGTCCGACAGGCGGTCTTACAGAGCGTCGTGAGCCTAAGTCTCGTCTTGTGTCGCCTGTGTCTCGTCCTATGTCACCTGTTCCTGCTGCTTGCACTGCTCGTCGTGGTCATCGTGAGCGTCCTCCACCTGTGCGTGGCACGCAGTTTATGATTCTGCGTCCTTCCACTGCTCCACAGCGTGTCCGTCTGCCGTCTCCTCCTGAGTCCTCTCTTCCTGTCCTTGCTGACCCGGAGTCTGACTCTCTTTGTGCTGCCAGTCCTACTGTCACGCGTCTCCTGGCCACTGCTGTCACTGACCCTTCCTTTGAGTCTGCTGCTGCGGCTGCCTTGGTTGCTGAGCTTGTCGACTTTGCTGCTCGTTGTCGTCTAGACTACGGTGCCAGTCTTCTTGCTGAGTCTGAGTCTGAGTCTGTCTGACCTCCCTTCGTCGGGGGTGAGTGTGCTCCAGGCACGGACGTCCTTGAGGACAGACAGGAGGACCTTGAGTGTCTTGCAGCCGCTGCGCCTCATCTCGTGTCGATGCCGATTGCCCCTGAGGGAGACCCGGATGCTCCAGACATCCCGACCCCGCGCTCTTACGCTGAGGCGATCTCGGGTGAGTACTCCTCTCAGTGGCAGACAGCTATGGACGCAAAGATGGCATCCTGAAATTCCACTAACACTTACGTCGACGAGGTTCCCCCTCCTGGGGCGAACATCATCATTGGCAAGTGGACTTTCAGGGTGAAGCGGCCGTCGGGTTCTCCGCGTGTCTTCAAGGCTCGTTACGTAGCTCGAGGCTTCAGTCAGCGAGAGGGAGTTGACTTCTTTCAGACTTTCTCCCCCACCCCGAAGATGACCACTCTTCGGGTGCTACTGCACGTTGCTGCTCAGCGTGACTACAAGCTTCACTCTCTTGACTTCAGCACAGCTTTCTTGCAGGGCAGCCTGCACGAGGAGATCTGGCTGCGCCGCCCTCCTGGCTTCACTGGGTCGTTTCCTCCCGGTAACCAGTGGAGCCTCCGGCAACCAGTCTACGGTCTCTGCCAGGCGCCACGTGAGTGGCACGACACACTGAGGACTACTCTTGCGGCACTTGGATTCGCGCCTTCTACTGCTGACCCGTCGCTGTTTCTGCGCACCGACACTTCGCTGTTGCCGTTCTACATCCTCGTGTACGTCGACGACTTAGTCCTTGGCACTACTGAGACTGCTGGAATCGCCCACGTGAAGTCTGAGCTGCAGAAGAGATAGACGTGCACAGACCTGGGTGAACTGCGTAGCTACCTTGGCTTGCAGATCACCCGGGACAGAGCACGCCGCACCGTCACACCGACTCAGTCACACATGGTGCAGCAGGTCCTTCAGCGCTTCGGCTTCACCTGGTCCTCGGCACAGGCCACTCCTCTGGCTATAGGTTACTCGCTCTCAGCTCTGCCTTCGGATGAGTCCATGGAGCCGAGTGGTCCTTACCCAGAGCTAGTTGGTTGCCTCATGTACCTGATGACTTGCACTCGTCCTGACCTAACGTACCCTCTTGGCCTTCTGGCCCGCTACGTGGCTACGGCAGGCACCGAAAGGTTCAGTGGAATGCTGTAAAGAGGGTATTGCGCTACTTGTGCACTACATCGGGCACGGGGCTCGTGCTTGGAGGAGGGAGCTCAGTTGTTCTCACTGGGCACTCAGACGCTTCTTGGGTTGATGACCAGGCTACTTAGCGGTCGTAACAGGATTACACCTTCAGCCTTGGCTCTGGCTCAGTTTCGTGGCGTTCTACGCGTTCGTCTTCAGTTCTCAGCTCCAGTTGTGAGGCTGAGATCTACGCCACAGCCATGGCTGCACAGAAGTTACGCTGGCTCACCTACCTGCTGACCGACCTGGGAGAGCGGCCTCGTTCTCCTCTAGTGATGTATGTCGACAACAAGGCTGCCACTACCTTGTATGAGGAGCACAGACTGGAGCACAGAACGAAGCACATCGCTCTGCGTTACTTTCTGGCTCGAGAGCTGCAGCAGCGCGGTCAGCTTCGTCTGCATTTCGTGGCCACTCAAGCCAACACTGCTGATATATTCACCAAGGCACTTCAGTCTGGTGATCATCAGCGCTTCTGTACTTTGTTAGGGCTTGTGCCCACTTTGCCTCACTTGCTGTAGACCTCGCCTGTACTGTGATCAATATACTTATACCTGCATGCTTGTACTACTAGGTAGCGATCACTGTGATGTTTGTGATGCATATATGCCTTTGCATGTGAAGTGGCCTTGTGGCTCTTTGCTTGTGTTTAGTGTGTGTGGTGACTTTGTGATCCACCTTGAGCTTGCGTTCTCTTTCTTGACTGGTCTTGTGACCCCTTGCTCTACCCCACTTAGCCTATGGGGGTGTGTCAAACATTATATATAGTATTGTTGTGTAGGCTATAGTGGGTTAGCCTTTAAGGGGTATATCATTCTAGGGTTTGTTACTTGTATCACCAATGTTCATAGATCATTCACTTGTTGATTCTGACACTTACTGTTTTTTTTTTTATATATATATATATAACCACCATCTGACCTTTCCTGCCTTTGCTGTGCAGGTACGGCTTCTGCGAGATGACCGAGGCACTTGTTGTGAGAAAATATAATTTAATATTTTCTATATGTAACTGCCTGTAGGATTGGTTACTGTAGTTATAGCGTTTTCCTATTTGGTGGTGCACCTTTCTTGCTTGTTCTCTCATATTTGTACCCTTGAACCTATAGTGAAACTCTCATTCCTCTCGACACTTCTCTCACACTCGAACTCAACTTTTCCTACCTCACTAGCCATGGCTCCTAAGCCTTGCTAGAACTTTCACACTTATGGTAAACCTGAAGCAACAGCAGATGCGCCACATCCAGTCTTCACCGTTTCGCGACATTTAATTGGACGGTAACACATACCGTCAAAGGGGTACACACATTCTTTTTTGCTTGTCCTTCGTCCGGGACGCAAAGACCGTGACCGAATTCTTCGGCCATTTGACCGTCGAGAAGTGCGACGCTTCGTCTCTTCTGATCGTGCTGCTGGATCGTCTGGAGAGCACCGGCGTTAACATCAACAAAATCACGGGCATCGCGACGGACGGCACAAGCGTGATGAGGGGAGGAAACACTGGAGTGGTGACTCAACTACGGTTCGAATACCGCAGCTTGTCACGTGCCACTGCATTGCACACATGCATGTATCTCCCCATGTGTAATTCATTTGTTAGTGCGATGGTTGCTTCACGTTTACAATCGGTCTACTCATGCGATGGTTGCTTCACAATTTTTTAGTATGACGTTCTTACTATTGCATAGAGGTACTCGCAGCGAAAGATGCCGCGGAAGCAGTGCCTGATCTCAACCTCATCGACCATGTTATTCAGAGCGTCACCGACAACCACGGACGCAGCATCGTCGAGCACTCAAGATTCATCGAGATGCAGAAAATCCTGCACGTGACTACTCTTGAGATGTAGGGGATAAAGGACATCTGATGGCTGTCACACGGCGAGGCGATACTGCGGCTTGTAGCTGTACTTCCGGCGTCGTGCTGTGGGAGCACGACAAGGAAGCGTACAAGAAAGTCACCAGCTTCAAGTTTCACTGCTTCTTGTTCTTCCTGGCAGATGTGCTCAAGGAGCTCAACAAACTGAACAAAAAGTTTCAGCGCCGGAGGATGAGGCTCTAATAACCCAGTTGTGTTGTAAACTGATTAAGGAAAGTGATTCAAACTAACTTCTCGCTTGTTGAGATATGTGAAGGTGGACATCACCCGTGTGGCTGCCATGATGCACAACACCGCATGAAGGCTTTTGGCTCGCTACAACAAATACGGCGTAAATTACACTGAGTAATAATGGCTTGCTGAGCAACTTCCTGGAGGAGCATGTGTTGGATGCACCTCATTCTGAGTGCATGTTATCCCAACGTCCTGCCGAGTGCTCGTCCTATTCATACGTGCATTGTTTGCATGAGCATATGTCATTGTGCATGGCTGTTGGATATTATCATCTTTGTGCCATTCTCCAAGTTTAAATGCTTGATCATGCAGGAGATTTCCAGAGCTTTTTGTTATGTGATGCCATCATTTGCATTCACGTCTGTCTGCCTCCCATCATATGTTTGTGCGTTGCATGCGTGGTGTGAGCGTGTGCAATAATTTGTGTTTGATGTAGTTTGGACTTTCTGAGTGTGTGTGAATGTTATTTGGCCTGAGTAGATATCTGAAGTGACTCTTCTGCTCAAGAGCTATCCGACGAGCCAAGGATCGTTTCAATCGGAGCACAAACGAGAAAGTTGTGATCGTTCGAAGTTATGGTTGTGGTGTGGTGACTATGGGAAGTTGTAGGGTTGACTCCATAAAGGGTACAGACTTTTGGGGGTTGGGAAATTCGTCCCCATCACTGTAGATGCTGCCAAGTGGTTGGGAGAAACCAAATTGGGTTGGCAAGTGTGGCCAACTTGGGTGAGGTGGATTGTGGAGGTTGGGAAATGGACAAAGGTCAAAGTGGGGTTCCTATAGGGAAGGGATTTGGTGTGCTTATGAGGTTTCCTTGGTTGTGTACTCCTTGGGGACCTTCCCTCTCGTCCTCCTCTTCCCTCCCACCTGGTTAATTGCTACTCCAACTTTCTTGGGTGAAATTGTGAGACTCTTGTGATTGAGTTAAGTTCCTATGGCTGCATACCCCCTTGTGCGCCGAAATTCATAACTCGTGAATTACTTCACCTTTGCGTGCGATGCAAAATGGGAATTGTAGCCACAGACTAGGGCTACAACATATCTGAGTTTAGTGAAGTTTTGACTGTGTAAGTTTTGTCGACGGCGTTTCTTGTGAACTCGGCTTTTCTGCCCATAAACTAGGCCCAACGATTTTGATATATTTCGTCTCCTAATCTTCATAAACTCCGTCCTTAGTCTCTAACACTTTCCAACGATACCAAGATCGCCTTATTCCGACCAAGATCGCCCAAGTTACAAGATTTCCAAGCCTTGGATTTCTTATCACCTTTTGGGGTTATATCTATTTTGGGTGACTATTGGGACACTACTGTTAAGGGATATTTGGTTGGGTAGTTAGGGAAGGCAACTTTTACTTTTGGATTGGGGTGGCTAGAAGTTTCTAGCATGGGGTGCAAATGTTGCAATACCTAGGCAAAATCCAACTTGATTGGATTTTGCATGTGACACCTCAAGAACCTCATGATGAGGGGTGCATCATTGCTGCTATGAAGGTTCCTACTATCCTTCCCTTGCTCTTGGAAAACCCATTCCCTCTCATGGTTCTCTTGGAGTCCCCAACTCCAACTTCTCATGCCTTAATGCTTGTACTTCCTCTACCATTCTAGTCATACAGCTGCTGGACGTTTTCAAATCGTTCTCACTCTCTAGACCATCCTTTTAAATGAGTCAAATTGTAGATGGTAGCTAAGCCTAAAGCGCAGCATCCTACCAAGCGGATTTGCGTTTAGTTGAGAAATGAGTTCGTCGTAAGTTTTCAAAGTGACGGATCCTAAACAACAAGTGGTATTAGAGCGGATAGTCGATTTTGAGACGACGAATCGTCATCAATTCTTGACCAATATTGACGAGGACCAGTTTCTAGTTGCTCTGCTTGCGAACTTTCGATTGGAGGTCAAACCGCGTTCTAATTTGAAGTATCGAGTCCGCGACGACAATTTTCGTAGAATCGAAATTTCTGGCAGAATTCTCTCCAAACGATTTCTCAAGTTTCCACCGTTCATAAGGCCTCAATATGATTGGAACGGACTCTAGAGGTGCTAATGGCAAAATGGCTAGAGGTAGAGAGGCTGGAGAGCAGCAGGGAGTTGCTAGTGGTGGAGTGGGGACTCACCAACCAGCCAACCCTATGCTACCGTCAACTTCTACACCATCTCCTACAACCGCGGATCCCGTGAAAGCGTTCTCTATCGAGAAATTCATGGGGGAGAACTATGAGCACTGGAGCTTCCGCATGAGGCTGATGTACACCCAATACATGCTATTGGATCTGGTGGAGGGGAAGGAGAAGATGCCGGATGTCGCGGAGCTGAAAGGAGCATGGACGAAGCGCTCGTTCGACGCGTACATGCTCATAGTGCAAGTGGTTGGTGGACGGCAACTTGACCACATCAAGGACGTCTTGGACCACATCAAGGACGTCTTGGGTGATCAAGAGTGTGGCCCCAAGGCTTGGAGGAAGCTTCTGGATGTGCACTCACCGACACACGCTACCGGCGTCGTGCTACTCGCGCGGCGGCTGCGCGACATCAAGTTCGTTGATGGAGAGCCGATGCAACCGGTGCTGGATGAGATGCGGGACATCTTCACGAAGCTCCAAGGCGGCGGTGTGGTGTACCTGGAGCTCGTGCAATGTGTGGAGATTGTAATACGGCTGCCGGAGTCGTGGTCTGCCCTTGCCATCAACCTCAACTCTCAACAGCCTTAGTGGAGCGTGGATTACATTCGCGCGCGCATCCTAGAGGGGGACTTGCGGTGGCAGAGTGTGGAGCGCTAGGAGGAGGGGGCTGGCAATGGAGTTGGAGGTGGAATGAGTGGCTTCAAGGAGAAGTGGAAGGGCAAGAACAAGGACAATCCTAAGGAAACAACCCAAGGATTGGACCCCGCCTTCATCAAGCAACTAACATGGTGGCAAGAGGAGTGGGGGAGTCATGGGAGCTAGTGGAGAGGAGAGGGATAAGGAGAAAGGCGGCAAATCAGAGGAGTGGAAGGCCGGGTTCTTCTTTTTCGTGAACGAAGGCGCAACTGACCTCGCTATAGCTGCTAAGGTTCTCCTATACCTCCTCACCCATTGGGTGACTGAGTCGAGAAGCTCTTGGCACATGACTCCTCGTGTGGACCTGCTTGATGAGATTAAGCCCGCACCTATCTCTACAGTCACATCCGCAACGGGCGCCAAGGCCAAGGTCATGGGCATGGGATGCGCCAAGTTCATGGGAGTGGATGAAGAGCTCGCGGGGCTGAAAAATGTGCTCTAGGTGCCAGACTTGTGCGCGAACCTGATTTCTACCAGCCGGTTTGGAAATGCGGGTGTGATCACCAAGACGATTGGCTCGGAGTGCTATTGCGCCTACAACAACGAGCGGCTGATTTGGGACCTACAGTGGAAGGGGATGTCCACAAGCGGATGTGGCAGATCCCGGCCCTCCCTTGGCAGAAATCGGGCAAGGTGGCAATGGCGGCATCTATGGAGGAGAGCGTAATTGATGAGGAGCAGCAAGGTGTGCAAGGAGAGGAGCTAAATGGAGGAAGCGCGATGGTGAAGGCGTCGGCTACCTCGGGCCAAGCGGATTGGGAGACTTGGCATCTGCGACTCGCACACGTGGCTGTTTCTACATTGGAGGTGACGCACAAGGAGAAGTGCATGCATGGGCTGCAACTGCAAGGAGATAGCGCTCACTATGGCAGCTACGAGGCGTGCATGCAAAACAAGTTTGCGCGGTTCCCGTTTCCACGTGCAGAGGGATCAGCTAAGGCGCCACTGGAGGTGCTGCACATGGACCTGATGGGTCCTATGAGGACTGAGGGGACTGGGGGAGTGCTGTACTTCCTCACCATGGTGGACGAATGGAGCCGTTTCACGTGGGCACGTCCCTTGTCCAAGAAGAGCGATGCTACAGCGACGATCAAGGAGGATTGGTTGCCAATGGTGGAGCGGCAAGTGATGCGGATGGTGAAGGTGCTGAGGAGTGACCGGGGTGGAGAGTTCCTTGGAGCAGAATTTACCAAGTTTCTCAAGAAGAACGACATTCGTCACCAGCTGACTTGCCCAGGAACACCGCAGCAGAACGACAATGCTGAGCTTGCCAATCGGACCATTGGCGAGGCGGCTAAGACCCTATTGGGGGCTGTTCTTGCCTGAAGCTGTTTGCCATGTCATCACGATCAAGAACAGGGTGTTGACTCATGTTGGCGACAAGCACTGGGTACCGTACGAGCGTTCGCTTGGGAAGAAGCCATCCATTGACATGCTGCGGGTGTAGGGCTGCATGGGGCTTGTGATGGTGCCTAAGGAGAAGAAGCACAAGCAGGAAGTTGCTGCTGTGTGGGCTGTCCATCTTGTGATGGCTCCTGACTCGAAGGGGTGGCTGATGTGGGACCCCAAGAGCAAGAAGACGCTGGTCAGCCATGACGTCAAGTTTGTGGAGGACGTCATGTACAAGGACTGGCAGCAGCAGCAGTAGCAGGTGCAGATTGGCTTGCGTCTGCAGGAGATTGAACGATCTGCACTGGAGGAGGTGTAGCTGCACCTTGAGGATCTCCCTAGGTCAGAGTTGACCAGTGACCACAGTGGCGGTGGTGAGCAGCAAGTTTTTGGTCCTGCCGCGGAGGAGGGGTTGGAGGATGAGTCGGCACGTGTGGACTCACCAACTCAGCCCGAGCCTGCTGCAAACTCCAAGGTAACCAAGAGGAGTGTGCAGAGAGGAGCTTCACCACATGGGCAGCAGACTGCAACCCGCGAGAAGAGAGTGGCAGCACCACCTTCAAGGCTGAAGTATAGCCGTTTGGGAGGACCCAAGCAAGGTGTCATGGCGGTTCACGCGGATGAGGGAGATGATGAGGAAATGGTGTTCTGTTTCTTCACACCCTTGCCTGGAGAACCAGCCACAGTGGAGGAGGCACTCAGTGGACCCCAGAAGGAGGAGTGGAAGGCTGCCATGGATGCGGATTTTAACAGTCTCATTGAGAATGGGATTTGGGAGTTGTTGAGTTACCCAAGGGGCGACGGTCGATCAGCAGGAAGTAGGTCTTCAAGGTGAAGAGTAGAGCTGATGGTGCGTTAGAGCGGTTCAAGAGCCGCTTGGTCACCAAGGGGTTTCAGAAGAAAGAGAAGGTTGACTTGAAGGAGATCTTGGCTGCCGTTGTCAAGCCAGTGATATTGAGGACTGTGCTGGCTGGCGCTTCTGTGAAGAGATGGCACGTGAAGAAGATGGATATCTGTCAACGTGAGTGTTTTTTGGCCCCGTTCTCGCTTCGTCGGAGCCGGCCTTGCCGTCGGATGTGCGGGGGTTGTAGCGGACCTATAGCAGTGGGCACGGGGGCCACTGCAAGGGCGCCAAAGTGGAGGGCGCCTAGCTGTGTTGTTCAGGATCCGTCACTTTGAGAGCTTACGACGAACTCATTACTCAACTAAACGCAAATCCGCTCGGTAGGAAGTTGCGCCTTAGGCTCAGCTACCATCTCCAAGTTGAATCAGTCATTAAGATGGTCTATAGAGTGAGAACCAAGTAAAAACGTCCAGCAGCCGCATGACTAGTATGGTGGAGGAAGTACAAACATTAGAGCATAGGAAGTTGGAGTTGGGAACCTCAAGAGAACCATGAGAGAGAAGGGGTTCTCCAAGAGCTAGGGAAGGATGGTAGGAACCTTCCTAGCAGCAAGGATGCAACCCTCATCATGAGGTCCTTGAGGTGTCACATGCAAAATCCAATCTAGTTGGATTTTGCCGAGGTGTTGCAACATTTGCAACCCATGCTAGAAACTTCTAGCCACCCCAATCCAAATGTCAAAGTTGGCTTCCTAACCACCCAACCAAAGATTCCTTTATAGTCATGTCCCAAGTAATCACCCAAATTAGATATAACCCCAAAAGGTAATAAGAAATCCAAATGTTGCAAATCTTGTAACTTGGGCGATCTTGGTCGGAATAAGGCGATCTTTGGGTCGTTGGAAAGCTCTGGATTTCTCCTGCATGATCAAGCATGTAGACTTGGAGAAAAAAACACAAAGATGATAATATCCAACAGCCATGCACAATGACAAACGCTCATGCAAATCATGCAAGCACAAATAGCACGAGCACTCGGCAGGACGTTAGGATGACATGCACTCAGAATGACGTGCATCCAACAAACTCCCCCTCAGACTAATGGACTGCATGCACACACACTCACACAAATGCAAAATCTCATGCATACAATCACACAAGCACTTACAACACTGCTGCCCACACTAGTGCAATGCCATGCCGCACATCTTAGCACACTTCCAATGTGCGCTCTCGGGAAGTCTCTTTGTGAGAAAATCTGCCGCCTGCTTGCTAGCCTTCACATGGTGAACCTCAACAGCTCCCTTCTTCACCATCTGCCTCACCCAGTGCTACTTAATCTTCATGTGCTTGTTCAGCCCATTCAGGATAGGATTATTGGCCATGCCAATAGCAGCCTCGCTGTCGGAGAAAAGTGGTGTAGGTCCCTCTTGTTCAGCTCCCATGTCCTCCAGCAGCTTCCTCAGGAGCACGATCTCCTTGATGGCATGGTACATCGCCATGTACTCTGCCTCTCCGGAAGACTGAGCAATCTCACTCTCCTTCTTGGACCTCCAGCTCACCGGTCCACCTCCAACCATGCACACAAAGCCGCCAACGGATGACTGATCCTCATCCTCTGAGGCCCATGTGGCGTCGGTGAAGCACGACAGCTTCAAGGTACCAGGCGTGACCCCATCTGCTCCAATCTGTTTCAGCTGGCGGCCAGCTGAAAACTGAACACCAGCAGATGCCGTTGATCCAAGGTAGCGCACCAAGCGCTTTGCCACCTCCAACTGCTCCACAGTGGGCCGTTGCACAACCCTGGACAGCTGCCTCACTCCGAATGAAGCATCAGGTCGCGTATGAGTGTCTGCTACTCATTCTGCTGCTCATCCTTGAGTACATCATCCTCCTCAGCTGCCTTCTTTAGTTTGAAGCCCGCAGGGAACGGTGTCATCACAGTGCGACCCCCAGTCACACCATACTGCTCCATGACACCAGAGATGTAGTGTCACTGATGTACCTTCAGCCACCTCCTCTCAACATCCCTCTCAATCTGCAGCCCCAAGTAGTAGTGGACATCCCCCAGCATCTTGCACTTGAAGTTGTCCATCAGCAGCTTCTGTGTCCTCTGAATCTGCTCCATGGAAGGTGAGAACAGTAGTATGTCATCGACATACACCAGCAGCAAAAGCAGCTGCTCCCCCTCTCCAAGCAAAAACAAGCTGTGATCCGCCTTGGACGTCTTGAAGCCTCCACCCAGCAGCACCTCCTCCAGCTTCTCGTACCAACACCTGGGCGCTTCCTTAAGGCCATAGATGGCCTTCTTAAGCTTGCACACCCGGCTCGTCCCATCCTCATAGCCGTCGGGCTGCGCCATGTAGATATCCTCCAGCAGTATTCCATTGAGGAACGCAGTGGTGATATCCATCTGCTTCACGTGCCATCCCTTCACAGCTGCGCCAGCCATCAAAGTCCTCAATGTCACTGGCTTAGCAACGGGAGCGAAGATCTCCCCAAAGTCGACCTTCTCCTTCTGCTGAAACCCCTTAGCGACCAAGCGGCTCTTGAACCGCTCCAACGCACCATCTGCTCCACTCTTCACCTTGAAGACCCACTTGCTGCTGATCGGCTGTCGCCCCTCGGGTAACTCAACAAGCTCCCAAGTCCCATTCTCAATGAGACTGTTGAACTCCGCATCCATGGCAGCCCTCCACTCCTCCTTCTGGGGTCCACTGAGTGCCTCCTCCACTGTGGCTGGTTCTCCAGGCAAGGGTGTGAAGAAACAGAACGCCATCTCCTCATCCTCTCCCTCATCCGCTTGAACCGCCATGGCACCTTGCTTGGGTCCTCCCAAACGGCTATACTTCAGCCTTGAGGGTGCTGCTGCCACTCTCTTCTCGCGGGTTACAGTCTGCTGCCCATGTGATGAAGCTCCTCTCTGCGCACTCCTCTTGGTGACCTTGGCGTTTGCAGCACGCTCGGGCTGAGATGGTGAGTCCACACGTGCCGACTCATCCTCCAACCCCTCCTCCGCAGCAGGACCAGCGCCTTGCTGCTCACCACCGCCACTGTGGTCACTGGTCAGCTCTGACCCAGGAAGATCCTCAAGGTGCAGCTGAACCTCCTCCACTGCAGACCGCTCAATCTCCTGCAGACGCAAGCCAATCTACACCTGCTGCTGCTACTGCTAGTCTTTGTACATGACGTCCTCCACAAACTTGACGTCACGGCTGACCAGCGACTTCTTGCTCTTGGGGTCCCACATCAGCCACCCCTTCGAGTCAGGAGCCATCCCAAGACGGACAGCCCACACAGCAGCAACTTCCAGCTTGTGCCTCTACTCCTTAGGCACCATCACAAGCCCCATGCAGCCCCACACACGCAGCATGTCAATAGATGGCTTCTTCCCAAGCCAACGCTCATACGGCACCCAATGCTTGTCGTCAACATGCGTCAAGACCCTGTTCTTGACCGTGATGACATGGCGAACGGCATCAGGCCAGAACTTGTAGGGCATCCCAGCAGCCCCCAACAAGGTCTTAGCCGCCTCGCCAATAGTCCGGTTGGCACGCTCAGCAATGCCGTTCTGCTGCGGTGTTCCAGGGCAGGTCAGCTGATGTCGGATGCCATTTCTCTTGAGGAACTTGGTGAATTCCGCTCCAAGGAACTCTCCACCTCGGTCGCTCCTCAGCACCTTCACCAGCCGCATCGCTTGCCGCTCCACCATCGGCAACCAATCTTCCTTGATCACCGCTGCAGCATCGCTCTTCTTGGACAAGGGACGTGCCCACGTGAAACGGCTCCATTCGTCCACCATGGTAAGGAAGTACAGCACTCCCCCAGTCCCCTCAGTCCTCATAGGACCCACCAGGTCCATGTGCACCACCTCCAATGGTGCCTTCCCTCTGCTTGTGGGAACGGGAACCGCGCAAGCTTGTTTTGCATGCACGCCTCGCAGCTGCCATAGTGAGTGCCATCTCCTTGCAGTTGCAGCCCATGCACGCACTTCTCCTTGTGCATCACCTCCAATGTAGAAACAGCCACGTGTGCGAGCCGCCGATGCCAAGTCTCCCAATCCGCTTGGCCCGAGGTAGCCGACGCCTTCACCGCCGCGCTTCCTCCAATCAGCTCCTCTCCTTGCACACCTTGCTGCTCCTCCTCGGTGACGCTCTCATCCATAGATGCCGCCGTTGCCGCCTTGCCCGATTTCCGCCAAGGGAGGACCGGGATCTGCCACATCCGCTTGTGGACATCTCCCTTCCACTGCAGGTCCCAAATGAGGCGCTCATTGTTGTAGGCACGATAGCGCTTCGAGCCAATCGTCTCGGTGTTCACACCTGCATCTCCCAACCGGCTGGTAGAAATCAGGTTCGCACACAAGTCCGGCACCCACAGCACATTTTTCAGCCCCACGAGCTCTCCATCCGCTCC